CCCAGAGTCGCCTCCAGTCACCAACGCCACCTTCCCCTGACAATAATTTAATGTTATTTACCAACTAACACTAGTACATTATGCATATTCTCCAATTTCTGAAAGCCATACGCGAAGTTTGTTTGATGGGGTGTAGTCATCGCTGGTAAACTGAGGACTGGGGTCCATGACGTGCTCTTTTCCAGGCTGCCTCTCCTGCCTATGAGGAGGAAACTGTTGCTCATTAGAAGACATTTTTCTCTGAAACACTCTTAAAGGGTCTCTGACTTCCACGGAATGTTGGCGGAAAACGATTAGTCCGGGTACTTTTCAGGCGGGTTTCGTTCAGGGAAAAAGAAAATATTCTTGTTGCTAACACTCTTGAGGAAGAGAATAAGCGAGGAATCATGTATTTATATGCATAATTTAGGATTTTGATGTGTGTATAAATGGAAAGTTGGCACCAAACTTTGTGCATTTTGTAGGGACACGTAAGAATACGTGGCGGAATTGAAGAAGAATGGAGGTCGATGTGTCGTGCCAGTCGCATGCAGCAAAGATGCCTGTGAAAATGGACGTTTTTGATGAGATAGGGACCATGTGAATTTGTTGATTTGGAGTAAATCCTGATAACTATTGTATGAATTAATTGAACCATTGAAAGATCATGTATCATCTGTAATTTGTAACCAAAGAGGTTTAATTAGTATTTGGAAAAAGTGGATTACTGTTCTAAATACATACAGTATTTGTTAATATAACTAGTCAATTAATTTAGATTTTAGAAGCAGATTAATTAATCAGCTTAATGATATATGAACATTTGAATCAATGGAAATACAGAGATTAGAACGGCGTAATCGATGCTTTGCATGGTGGCCACGTGCTGGAGTTATCGACTTATACTTTGTCATTTGGAAACCAACTTTTCTGGTATTAGAAAGCTCACAAACCGGCACCTGTAAAGACTCTTCAGTACTTACTTGCATTCAAGCCAAATCCAAAGGGGAAAAATTTGAGAGCATATATAGAGTAAGAAGCACAGCAAATAAAACTCTAAAAATTCCATTTGCTTTATTTCTTCTGGTGCATTCTTCATAGTTATCTGTCTCAGCTCCTTGCAGTTGGTTATTTAACAATTATGGCCCGTTTCAAACTTACCTTCTTCTTCATTCTCTCGGTTCTCCTTCATGCAGCTCTCTTGCTTCCTCATATGGTGCACTCTAAAGGTTTATTCGCTCTCTCTCTCTCTCTCTCTCTCTCTCTCTCTTGTTATTAATGGGGTTTTTAATAATGTTGTTTGGCTGCATGAGAGTTAATATATATCTAGCCATCTAGTATGAGATTTGAGTGGCATATTTATGTTTCTTAATTTGTTCTTGCACTTGTATTTTTTATTATAAAAAAATGCATAAAAATCCAACTCTCTGGAACATACATTGACCCCCTTGTGCCCTCTGTCAACTTTGTCCAAGGCTTTCAAAATCTAGCAAATGCCTCCTTTAAGCTCGTTAACGTTCTTTCTACATGCTTCTCCACGCGGAAGAACAAGAAAATCCTTAATTAAAGGGGATATTGTCGGTGCAGCCCCTTTAATTTGTTGAGAGAATTAGACAAGAAAAAAGCAAAAAGTGAAGAAGAAACCCCATCCAACAAGTTATGCTGATCCCATAAAAAGTAAAATCAATTAGTCAAGTCTAGCTATCAAAGAATCAATACATATTTCGGTGTATTATTCCAAGCCCCATTTCATAAAATTCTGGAGATTTTGATTTATTCTGTTAGTTAAAATTATACCATGTAAGCATCAATAGCACAATATAGGAGTCATTTAATACAGAGCTTAACTAAGTAGTAATTCAATATCTTTAAGCAATAGTTCAGTTTGTGTTCTTTAATGACATTGTTGAAGAATGAATCTCGGTAATGAAATTGTATATGATTAATCTAATTAATGATTTCCCATTTAAATTTCAATCGTTTCACAAATCAGGGACTAATCATGTTGTTCAATTAAGTAGATCAAGATTGTCTGCATTTCGCATACAATTTGAAACTTATTATACTCTTCATTGTTATTTCCCCGCTTGCAGACGAAGATGAGGACAATCTTCTTCAAGGAATTAACAGTTACAGGACATCACTAAACCTTCCAGCTCTCACAAAGAATGACAAAGCAGGATGTCTTGCTGACGAAATTGCAAATGACCTAGAGGATCAGCCTTGCAGCAGCAACACCACCGCCAGCACGCCTCAATCAGCGAATTACAACAACAACATAAGGAAGTGTAAAATTGATCCCAACACCGCAACCGATGGCGTCGTACTACCGGTTTGTGTACCCAAATTGGTGCCAACCCTTGTGCTCACAAACTATACACACACTCCGCATGCAAGGTATCTAAACAACTCGAAGTATACCGGCGTTGGCGTCGGCTCGGGAGATGATTGGATGGTTATGGTATTGTCTGGCAACACTGTTGCAGGAAGCTTTGCCAGCGAAGCAACTTCTTTGGTTTCAAAGATGGGTTTGGGACATCACAGCTGGATGGCTTTGCTTTTGGGATTGCTTCTTTATTTGGTGTATTACTAAAAGTGCTTTTTCCCTTTTGAATGACTTGTAGATTTCGTAATTCTCAGTCTGTAATTTTGTATACTTCGTTTAATTCTCAGTGACTCTTCAATATTTGCATATGAAACATATTTTGTTGCTCTAGGAGTCTCAATTGTTGATCTTAATTGCAGCAATATTCGGATATATGATATTTACCTGACTTGAAGTAAAGTTGATTAGTTTAATTGGATATTTGATTTAAAGAGAAGTGGGATTATTCAAAGCGGGTCCTGCAAGCAGCTTCAGATAGAAGCCAGCATCGATAAAGAAAGATTCATGGAGATAACCATAAGCAATGCTTAAGAATTTGATTCCAGGGAGCTTTCACTTTAATTTGGCTTGAAAATCACACCTTTAAGAACACAATATGTACCTCAATGTTCTGTAGTCTTGTTTTGTGCATTCTTAATCTTTAGCACACAGAAGCCACCCTTTGGTTAATAAGTAAAATATGGCAGCTCTGAAACTTAGCCTCTTCTTCCTCGTTCTCCTTCAAGCAATTTGCTTTCTTCCTCATCGGGTTCACTGCGGTACAATTCTCCTTTTCTCTCTCTGTCTCTCTCTCTCTCTCACTTTCATGCACACATATGGTTTGGGATTCTTATATATGAGTCATCACATTATTCAGTGGCAACACCAGTGGAAAATTAACATTTTCCGGTGACATTACCACCAATGCCACCCTCTAAATCGGCAGTTTCCGCCGCATACTTCTATTCTTATATATAGATCATTACTTGTTGCTGTAACTGGCTTATTTTTATCATTGACGTAACATTCTGGTTGTGTCCCATTTCCATTGTTTTTTACAATTTCTGCTTAGAAAAGGGTTTGTGAAAATAATCAAACTCGTTGCATTCAAGAACATTCAATGCACGAAAATTCTCGATGCATACTGAATTATAAAACTCTATACTCAATCCTGCAGGTGATGAGGAGGATATCCTCCAAGGACTCAACAGTTACAGGACATTAATACGTGAACCACACCTCACAGAGAACAAAAATGCAAAGTGTGTGGCTGAAAAAATTGCAGAAGATTTAGAGGACTATAAATGCAACTCAACCAACGGTGTAAACACACCAGTATCCACTCAGCAGCAGTTTGCCACCGAGAAAATTATAAAAAAGTGCAAAATCCTCCCGGAATCCACCAAAGAAGGAGTTATACTATCAGTTTGTGTGCACAAATTGGTGCCATCTCTTGTGTTCACAAACTTCACATACACTTATAAGTATACCAAGTTTTTGAAGAGTTCCAATTACACGGGAGCCGGGCTCGGCTGCTCTGACGACTGGATGGTGCTCGTGCTAACGACGAACACCGTCGGAGGGAACTTCACGACCAGCGGGGCTATTTCTTTCGGGTTGAGGAAGATCAATGGTTTGAGTTATAATGTGGTGGGGTTGGTGGTGGCATTGCTTGTTTGTTTGGTGTTTTGATGAGTGATTAATATTTATATGGTTTTTGTTTGTTGTATTAATTCGTTGGTTTGTTTTGGGCTTGGGTGTGTGAATATTAATTGTTCTGGGTTTTGTTTTATTGTGTTGAAGAAGGATTGTAATTTGTTTGTGTAAATCATAAATTAACCTCATCAAAGGTTCATTCACTTTGTAATAAGATTATGGCAATGCTCCTACAAATAAATTTTTTATAATAAATATTAGAGGTCTCGTATTATTTATTTATAATGTATGGATGCTATATTGAATCAGAGAATAGGGAATTTTCAATAATTATATATATTTTTAATAGAATTATGTATTGTTGTAAAACCCAGACCAAATTGATTGATTCGATTGATTTGACAAGGAAGCAAATATTTATTCAATCCGAGTACATCCGAAACTCGATTATAACAGTTGAACAGGATTGACCTGGAATTGAATCAATAGAACAATGTCGAATAATAAGGTTAGAGAATCGGATTGATAACATCAATATGACATAATAAAAATTTAAAATTCTAATAAATTTTTAAAATAACTCCATCCAAGTCTAAAATTCAAACAACAAATAAATAAAATAAATTGTAAATCCAAATCTAAGGATGAAATGTTAAATAAAATAAATCCAAAATCCAAAGAAGTGCTTTCGATCGAGCAAAAGTGTTTATAAAATATTTATTTAAAATATATGTGGTTATAAATAGGAGAATTTTGTGCTGACGTGGAAGCATAATGGCTGCCACCTAACACCCCGTCATCTTGCACTTGCAAAATAATATTAATTTTTTTTTTTTTTTTAATTATTTAACTGAAACTAAAAAGTTCCCCACCCAACAGAGTGCCACCAGCTAAAATACGCGAAGTATGCATAATTGAATCTACGCATGATCAATCTCCATAACAAAAACAGAGATTCAGATTCTACGAGCTCGCAAGCTCGAGAGACCTGAGCCAAGGTATGACAACGACAGAAGACGATGACGACGAGGGTTTCGGGGAATTCACCTTTGCGCCGATCACCGTCCATTCAAAGCCCAAAATCAACGGCTCTGGTCATCACGGTAAAGTTGATGACGATTGGGGCGATTTCGTAACTCCCGCTTCGCTCTCCCGCTGCGAGACGCTGCCTGTAAAATTACTGGATCCGATTAATTTGTCCTCAAATTGCCGAACCGATAGCTTGAAAAATGATGCGGCGCTGCCTGACTCGGCCCCTAGTCGGATTCGGGCTCAGTGGGAGAAACCGAAGGGCGCGTTGCCGTTATCGTTGTTTGGGGAGGAAGAGAAGGAGGATGACTCAGGTGCGCCGGGTTTATTGTTTAATGGTGCAACCGAGTTGAAGAAAACTGAGAAAAAGATGGGATCGGAGTTGAATGCGAGTTATTTGATTTCGAATTTATACTTAGGGAGCGAGCAGAGCAAGGTGGGAAATCGGTCGGGTTTGAATTTGGATTCAAATGGACTGGATTTGAAGAGAAGTGCAGCGAATTTGGATTCAAACGGTTCGGCTTTAAAATTGGAGAACTGGGGTTCGTATGGGCTGAATTCAGATTCAAAAGGATTGGATTTGAAGAGAAGTGTGTCAAATTTGGAAATAAACGGGTCCGGTTTAAAATTGGAGAATTGGGGTTCTTATGGGTTGAATTTGGATTCAAAAGGGTTGGATTTGATGAGAAGTGTATCGACTTTGGGTTTGAATGGATTGGATTCGAAGATTAATTTGGATTCAAATGGGTTGAATTCGGGTTTAGACGAGGATGACGATGATGGGTGGGAATTCAAGGCTGCAGAGACTAAATTACCAAACGGAGATTTTAATTTTAAGGTAATTGTTTAATTGTTGAAATAATTTAGGAAATGGAAAGAAAATTCAAAATTTTGATACTTTAAGAGGGTTGTTAATTTTGCAAAAAAGATGAACTTGCCATGTTAAGCGTAAGACTTGTAGAACATGTAACAGAGTATGTAAAATTTGCTCTGAAAGTTAAACATAAAACTCATAATGAACTTAAAATTTTGTAATGTGACAAAGTGGTGTTCTTTTTAGCTCATAAAGAATAAACTTTTGAAGATCATGAGTTTTTGTTGTTTGAGCTAATTAACTTGTTGCTCTATTGCGAACTTTTTGAACCAGAGTCAACACGAGGTGAAAGCTGAAAATGTACTAATGCCAAAGGTTGATGGACTTAAGTCAAGTTGGAATGCACACTTAAATGGGTTGAGTTCAAGCGTCAATGGAGTGAATAAGGATGCAAATGGGTTTAGTTCAAGTTTAGTTGACAAAAGTGAGGATTTTGGGGATGATGATGAGTGGGAGTTCAAAGATGCAGAAACAGAACCATGGTCTGCCGATAGCAACAATAAGGTTCATCTATTTCTCTTTATTTGAATTTTTTTTTTTTCCTAATTGCTTGTGTCTGAGTTTGGAATTTTCATTTTTGTTTTGTTGGGGTTTCGTAGTTAAATTTTTTGCTTAAGGTCCAACATGAGGATTTTTCTTGTGCAAGTCATGAACTGTGAAATAGAAATATATATATTTCTCCCAACATCTGCTCAGCCATCGAAAATAGATAATGAATGTTATATTGTAGTTATTTGTCTTTTACTGATTGTAATAGTGCAATTGTTTAAGAGATTGCTGAATAATCACAATTGAAAGAATCTTTATTTGGAAGTTTAGCAATAATTAATTGTTTTATCTACTATCGGTGCTGCCTAGTACTTGGTTTTAAATACTTGATTTTACATTGAAGTTCAGGAATAATTAATATTTGTGTTATATTCCATTGATTTTATGTTATTTGTTTTTTTAGCACCATTAAATATATATATGACTTTGGATTTTATTTCCATTTGGTTTATAAGAGACTGACATCCTTTCATTTGAAGGTCAACAACAAAGGGCCTGGGAATTCTGAGGGAGTTAAACACACATTTGTCTTTGACAATGGGGCACAGGTTCCTACCGATTTGTTTACTGTATCAAATGGGATCTCTCAAAAACCTGGTCAATTGGACTTTGGTTTAGATTTCAGCAAAAGTTCTGTTTCACCAGATGGTATTTACAGTTCATTCTCAAACAGTGAGCAGAAGAATGATAATGGGGCACAGGTTCCTACCGATTTGTTTGCTTCATCAAATGGGATCTATCAAAAATCTGGTCAATTGGACTTTGGTTTTGATCTCAGCAAAAGTTCTGTGGCACCAGATGGTATTTACAGTTCATTGTCAAACAGCGAGCAGAAGAATGATAATGAAAATGGACTGAATTCTGCTTCTGTTATTGGCAATGTTGAGAATGGAGAAAATTTATGGGAATTCAAGGATGCATTTTCAGAAACTGGATCGAAGGATAGGGTAATGATTTAACTTAAACTTCCATTTAAATGTAATTAACTATGATCTAGATTTTGAGGACAACGTACATAATGAAAGCTTCCTCATATTTGTAAAATGAGTCCATGTTAGCTCCAATTTGTCCTGCTTTAGGGACAGCATTTACTTTTCACATTGATATTCAAGTGTGGCTCATTTGATTGGCTCTGTATGTTTCGTAAAACTCTGTGACTTTATCTTTTGCAATTCAAATGTTTATACTTAGGACCTAGAGGAAATTTACATTAATTGAAATTTGTATGCTATCTCAGTTTCATGTTACTTATAAATTGGTCAACCTATATCTTTTGTCAAGTTTTGAGTATCATGGATAAATTAAAAGTTTGTTTGTACATGCTTTATAAGAACATTTTCATGTTCTAATTTGATTTTTACTTACTCAGGGAAAAGACACTAAGTTGGAGAGCCACAGGGGAGCCTTACCTTTGTCCCTTTTTGGGGATGGTGACATAGAAACTAATGACTCCTCAATTCATCAAGATGTTCCTAATTACAATCTTGCTTCCTCTACAACAGACGACATTAAGAAGAGTCAGGGATCGAGTGTATCTATCAGTGATCTCATAACAAGTTTATACAGTCAAGCTGAGCAGAATACTCCTGTCAACCATACACAAAATCCAAGTGAAAAAGGTTTTAATTCTGTGCAGAAAGTTGTGGATTCTAATTTAGCAGATGGTGATGGTGATGGTGATTTTGATGATGATTCTTGGGAATTTAAAGGTGCTGTTTCCAGAACAGTAGATGATCAGATCTCAGTTCCTGGTCTTGGAGATTCACATGTGAGGCACTCTACCAAGGTGGAGCCAAAAAAATTGATTGAGCAGAAAGATTATGCAGATTTTTATTCCGAACTAGAGGATGAATTATTGTTTGTTGCACAGTACCATCTTGACAATCTAAAGGTTGGAAGATTTGTTAAGATATATTTTTTCCCTTCAAATGTCAATGTTGTTAAATCTTTTAAACTTTTTAAATTCGCTTTTTGTTAGAAAGAACGAAGTACTGCTGCTCTTTGTGGTGAAGATGGTAAGCTAGAAGCTATTGACAAGGAAATTCAGGTTGGTTACTGTATCTTGTTGATGAGTATGTTCATTGGCTTTCTTTTTATCGGTCATGAACTTCTTGTTATGACAGCTATTGATAATGCGGCCAAATATTATCAATATCCTTTAAAGAAAATATGGAATTTATTCCTTTTTGTTTTGCTCTCCCGTTCTTTTGGGAGTCTTTTGAGAAAATCAGGATGGAATTCTTATGCAATAATTTTTTTTCTTGCATAGTCAAAAGAATGGTAGTAAAGTAATGATATTGACATTACTAAAAAATTGAAAAAAATTCATGGTGCATTGAGCTTCCTCCCTTCATGATGATTCTGTAGAAAGAGATCACTGTTTTCTAACTTGTAGGAAACTTTACATAGTACACTTAGTAATATTTTCTTTTCTCTGCTGTTGCAGGATCTGTATAATGAATTGCACCAAGACTGTATTATTTCGAAAGTTCACCCAGAGAATCGGCCACTGAGCAATATTCACCTTAATGAATTCATTGAAGTTCTCCAGGAACCAACGTTCCATGTTCTTGAGTCAGAATATCATTTATCAATGAGATTGTCATTAGTAAGTGTCTTTTTCTTTATTTTTTTGATGAAGAACCATATATTTTTTTTTTTTAATAGGATTACATGCTTCTACCTTTTGAAGAATAAAAAACTAAGTATGATAAAATACACTTCTATTTTTTTTATTTTTGAATTGATTGTATAAATTATATTGCAAACTGCGGGGTTTGTTTTCATGCCAATTGAATTATTTAGTTTGGTTAAATAGGCTGAGAAAGATTGGAGGTCAGCAATTGAACTCCTAAAACATGCGGCATCAACATCAAAGATTCTAAAGTTGGGATCAAGGGAGGAGCAGTCTTCTTATGTTTCCACTTGGTTCAAAATGGTGTCTGTTTGTGCTCAAGAGCTGAGACATGGTGCCTTGATTTGGAAGCAGTCATTAGAAAAGAATGTCTCCAGTCAATTATTATCTTACCCTCGAGGTACTGATTTATTTCAACATTGGTAGTTGTTGCTTGAATATATAACTTTTTTATGGTTGTGTGGTTAATGTGATATTATGGGTAAGTACAGGCAAGCAGTATATACTCACACTTGGAGAAATTTACAGAGTTGTTGAAGTTCTTGGATCCTCAGCCAAACTTTACAAGCCGTTGATGCTATTGAGTTCTGCTGATCCCACTGGGAAGTTCACTCTTCTAAGCGAGTGTTTTACCTTGTGGTCAAGTTCTGGACTTGACGAGGCTATCGGAAGTATTTCTGATCTAACAGGTTTTGAGTGTAATGTAACTCCCACGGAATTACTAGAATCCATCAAGTATATTCATGATCTTGATGTGCATGCACTTCATAACCATGTTTTCTCTGGACAAGAACCTACTTGTCGGCTTTCACTCCTAGCTGCAGGAACAATGCCAGGTAACAAATCATAATGTTGCATCTTGATTAGGATCCGAACAATCTTTGTTGAATTCTGTGTCTCATCTTCTTAGTTTCCATTTGATTGCATGTACCAGATATGAAAATGGTGGTTTGGAACGGCAAGCACTATTTTCTACCTCTTGCAAACTTGTGGGCAAATCTAGTAACGACTGATCCTCCAAATGTGCCACGCTTGCATGTCGGCTAATAAGCATACCAGTGGAGGTTGAAATTTTTTATTGAGAAACTCCGCAGCCAAGTTTGCAATCGAATCCTGGTTGGATAATAAAGCTTCTGGTGTATTGATCACAGACGCTTTACTCAAAGGACCGTGCTCGGGTAGAAAAAAAAAAAAAAAAAAAAAAAAAAAAAAAAAAAAAAAACCATAGTTCAAGTTTCTGGGAACCTGGCGTCAACCGTTGCCTGGTTTGATCACAAATTTTCAAATTCAATATTCTTACGTAAATTGATTGCCATTCTTTTAGTGGAAGCTGTAGCATAGCAATTGAGTGTAGAAAAAAAGTTGTATTACTTTGTTATTTATTTGTGATTGGGTGGATCAAGAAAACAAACACCCCTATATAGGAAAAAAAATAGAATTTTGTGTAAAAACAGATGAGAATATCATTTTTACTTCTTTATAATGGTACTGGTGAGTTTAATGGTCATATCTCAAAAGAAGGATAATAATAATAAGTTGGTTGATTTTTGGTCGTCAAAATATTCATTGTGCAATATAGAGATTTGTCATTATTTTATTCTGTATTCCAATTTAAGTCTTCTCTTGTATCGAATTTTGATTTGTCTCCAATTCCTTGGCTTTATCTAATTGTAAAATCAAGTCAATTGGCCTTTTCTTCCTCTCCAAGGAAATTACTTCCTCTCCAAGAATTTAAAATTGATATTCTTTCTAAGTGTAAATGGAAGAAATGTTCCATGAATAAGTCTTCTCTTTGATAGAATTTGATTTGTCTCCAATTCTTGGCTTTATCATTGTAAAAATCGAGTCAAATGGCCTTTTCTTCCTCTCCAAGGAAATTGCTTACTCTCCAAGAATTTAAAATTGATATTCTTTCTAATGTACATGGAAGAAATGTTTCATAGGGCATCATCATGAAACGTGGCCATTTACACTCGTTATTGGTTCTCTAAATTCTTATAACGAAGTTGTATTGAGTTACTGCTAGTATATAATCTAACTAATCTTGAGACCTATATACATACCGAATAGAGAGTTTAGTATCACTTGCAACTGAAAATGACTCAAACTAAGATTTTTTAATAATACACAAAAGCCCTATCGAACCACTTGATCACCGAAGTCACCAAAAATGCTCTTTTCAGTATGTTGACTTCAAAGGATGATTATATGTGTTATCCACTAAGTCGTACTATAACCTACATGTCGTGATATCGGAGTAACATAACCATGAATTATGTTAAACATTTTATTTTTTATTGAAATATAAAATATTTTTACCAATTGTGAGTAATGAAAAGAAAAGTTAAAAACAAGCTTACTTTTACTACATAAATACGATGTTTTTTTTGTTTTTGTAACCCTTATAGTTTGAGAATCATCTCCATCCCCCTATATTTATAAAAGGAAGGTTAAGTTAGTGATAGTTTCCAACCACAAGGTGTGAACTTTACTAAAGGCCAGTGAAGCTTGGCGAATTTTAACCCTTCGCCGAACCGGAAAGGACCCGGATATGAGAAGAAGGCATTTCTCGAAGCTATGGAGAAAGGTAGGGTTTTTTGGAGACTTATAATTCACTAATCTTCTTCTTCTTCTTCGCTCGTTTCTAGTAAGACAGTGGAAAAATGTTGCCATCAATTTGTTCAGAGAAGAGAAAGGCCAACCCTGAGATTATACGCGAGTCGCAACGGCGTCGCTTCGCCAGTGTCGATCTCGTCGACGAGATCATCAGACTTGACAAAGAATGGCGCCAGCGTAAATTTTTATTCTTTACTTTGTTTGGCTTTTCACTTTCTATGTTTCGTCGTTCGTTCGTTTATTTTATTTATTTGTTTTATGTAGGTCAATTTGATTTAGAGAATATCCGGAAAGAGATCAACAGACAATAAGGAAATAGCTAAGCTCAAATTGTGAGTGTTTATTTTTATGTTTTAGTTTTGTTTGTGATGCAGTTTTTTTTTTATGTTCTGTTTGGTTGCTGATAATCTAAGAGCTAAGTAGCTAGAAATGGAAGTTGAACATTGACTAAAAAACTTTTGGCAGAAGAATAAAACGAAATAGATTTTTTTTTTTTTAAATCTTTTTCTAATTGAAGAGTGGAATTTTCGGTATTGCTGAGTGGTCCATATTTTTGAGGCTTGGGCATTGTTAATGTTTTTACTTACTTATTCCGTGCCATGACATGGTGTTGGATCAAGAGTTTTTGAACTGAAGTTAAGTTTGTTGATTATGTAATGTATAACCTTCGATCCATCTAACTACATTAGATTGCTGAAATTTGTGCCACCAAACACAGCCCTAACTGAAATTCTTGGAACGCTTAAATGGTATTTGGATGCAGAAGCAGAATGCCGACTATGTGCTTGCTGATGCTAATATAGTCAACATAAGTATATCCTCGAGTGTTAGTTAACTATTTTTGCATCGTTAATGCATGTTTAAAATTTATTTTTATAAAGTAGATCAACCTGAGATGTGTATGGATTTCTTATTTGAATATCTTATCTGTAGAGAGCACCTAATGTTGTGTAAATTGTTTACTTATATTTTGGACATTCCTTTTCTCTCCTCTTTTTTTTTTTTTTTTTTCTTGGTGTTTGTTTATAAAACTGAATTCTGTATTGGTTTGGATAGTTCCGAAAGATGATGCAACTGAGATGATCGCAAAGTCAGAGGTGGTCAAGCAAGCAACAACTGACAAAGAAGTTGAAGTTCGTGAGGCATGGACTGTATTGAAATCAAAGTTGGAAATAGTTGGAAACCTTGTGCATGATTCAGTACCAGTCAGTAATGATGAGGTATGTGACTTGGCTGAGTTAGTGTACTTCCATTTTGCCTGATGCTGTAGGTGAATTATGAAGTGGGAATGATTTGTGTAGGCGAATAATGCTGTGATTAGAACATGGGGAGAGAAAAGATTGGAGCCAAAACTGAAGAATCACGTTGAGCTTGTTGAGCTTCTTGGAATCGCAGATTTGAAGAAAGGTATTAAAAGTTCACTTATATTCAGGCATTATTATTAATTTGTTTCCCTTTTTGGAGATGAGATGTATAACTTTTAGTTTTTTAAGATAGGTTGTCCTTGGATGATCAATAGATATATGATTGGATGGTTTGATAATCTCCATTTCACTGTCTTTTCTGGTTCTAATATGTTTTGATAATGTTCAAAATACGTTTTTTTTTTTTTTCCCTGATTTAGCTCAAGCATATGCATTATGTGGTTCAATTTGAGTTTGTATGAGCCATAATCCTCCATCCAGAGCCATGATAAGTCGTCCACTTTTGTTACTTGAACTTGACCAATGGTTTTTTTGTCATTTTTGTAGTGTATATCAATCTCATATCATCAATACTTAGTAGCAGATTTATTGGTTTGTTTCCCATGTTTAAAGCAATTCTATTCACTTCTCATCATTCTTGTTTCTACTTCCATCTATTATAGTACATCGTGAACTGAGCTTATGCCTTATATTAGGTGCTGATGTCGCTGGGGGTAGAGGTTTTTACTTGAAAGGAGATGGTGTACGGCTTAATCTAGCTTTGATAAATTTTGGTCTTGATTTCTTGGAGAAAAGAGGATATACATCATTACAAACTCCATTCTTCATGAGAAAAGACATTATGGCCAAGTGTGCTCAGTTAGCACAGTTTGATGAAGAGCTTTACAAGGTTACATTCGTAAACTTGTATTAATACATATTACCTTCTCTTAATTTTTCTACTATGTGGTCAAAAGAGCTAGTCGTTGTTATAAAGGTGGTTTCCTTTCATAGACAGTAATGTTTCTTTCAATCAGATAAATGTGAATGCTTAACTAGAATTGCTTCTCCTTTGGAATTTCTTGACTAAAATTTGAGCATGACTTATTAGTTGGTGTTGATAGGTGACTGGTGAGGGAGATGATAAGTACCTTATTGCGACAGCTGAACAGCCACTTTGTGCTTATCATATAGATGATTGGATCCATCCTTCTGAGCTACCGATAAGGTAATCATCTTTTCAAACCCTTGTCCCTATGGCTACAAAAGAGTTCTTGTGGGTTTTTGCTTACGGACATTACAATTTCTTAACCAGATATGCTGGATACTCATCATGCTTCCGTAAAGAAGCTGGTTCACACGGACGAGATACTCTTGGAATTTTCCGAGTTCATCAGTTTGAGAAAGTGGAGCAATTCTGCATCACCAGTCCAAATGGCAATGACTCATGGGAAATGCACGAGGAAATGATTAAAAACTCGGAAGATTTTTACAAGATGGTATAATGGTTTTCTTTCTTTTTTAATCTGCATGATATGCAATGGCACATATTTCTCTCTAGTATTCATCCCTTTACTTTTGGTTAAATGCTTTGTTATCTTTGTTATATCTCTGTCCAGAAAGTCTTTAGGGAACATGTCAATTTTTGGGATTCTGACTTTATTTTTAACCCTTGAGAAACAAAATTCAAATTTCAGATTTGCGTGCGTTTCTGTCAAGGAGAAAATCATAAGTCTGATTCTTATATGGATCTTTTTAGTAGCAAAGTTGTGAGCAATAATCAACTAATTAATGAGGAAAGGTTTGGCTCTAATTGAATTTTATTTTACATGCAGCTAAGCATCCCCTATCAAATTGTGTCCATTGTCTCTGGTGCTTTGAATGATGCAGCTGCAAAGAAGTACGATTTAGAAGCATGGTTTCCTGCATCGCAAACCTATAGAGAGTTGGTGTCATGTTCAAACTGTACAGATTATCAGTCAAGAAGATTGGAGATTCGATATGGACAGAAAAAGGTATGTTCTGTTTACTTCTCCCTATTTAGGGCGGACAAAGCCATATGATATGAGAGTGTGATGCCCCTATTCATTTTCAAAATAAACAAACTCTTTTATGATATAGAAGCTAGCAACTTCTGCTGGTATTATGCAGATTGTTATCCATTTTGTTTGAGGTACTGGTTCTAAAGTGGACAGTTGGTATCATGTTGTATTGTTTACCATTAGAACTCTGTAGTTGTTATGGAAATTAATCAGAGCAAGCACTTATTGTTTTTGTGGCCAGAATTCTTCCAAACTCACAATTTTGCTTTTGTAATTTTGAAACATTGCAGAGCAATGAACAGACGAAGCAATATGTGCACTTGTTGAACTCTACACTCACAGCAACTGAAAGAACCATTTGCAGTATCCTTGAGAACTACCAGAAGGAAGATGGTGTTGAAGTACCAGAAGTCTTACAACCGTTCATGGGTGGCAAGACTTTCCTGCCTTTCAAAATAAAACCAGTTGCTGAAGCTAAAGGGAAGAAATCCAAGGCTTAGCCACCGAGTGCAGATTGACGGAGATGTTAACGATCTGCAAAATCTGTTTTTTCTTGGTGGAAACATTGAGAAGTGACATAAAAGATTGTTGTGTATTGAATTGCCAAGCAGGATTAGCCTTGTTTTTGTGAACCATGTCTTAAAGTTTATACATTATGTTTACAGGATTTGTCATTAAATTATAGAACTACAAAAGTTTGCTACTCTTCAGTCATTGAAGATATAAAAATATTTGTCCAAGTATCATAGTCATTGAAGGTTTGATTTGGCCGAGATCTATATTTAAAGTTTCAGTTTTATTTTATTTTTTTTAAAAACAACTACGAATGTGATGATTTAGACTAATGTTTTAATAACCAACTTAGGGTTAAACCAGGCAAAGCTGTCGGGTCTCAGGTTGGCTGATTTAACTGGTTTGACTGGGTGGTCAAACTAGGTGTCAAAAGTTTAAAATTCAGTAAATACACCCTTGAAAAATGAAAATTACAGTTAAGTTTTCGCAAGTTTGAAATTTAGTAAATACACTCTAAGTTCAAATCGACGGTAGATTGGTTAGCGATGGCAATACACCAAATGCAATCTAAATCATCCCTTTAGCCAATTCCTTAGAAAATTTATCCAAGATCAATTCGATTTTGGCCAGGTCTCACCACTACTGGTGTCGACAACCCAGGCCAGATCTCATCACTGTTGGCATCAACAACCTAGGACAGATCTCACCACCGTCGGTGTTGACAACCTAGGTCAGATCTCACCATCGTTGGTGTCGACAGCCCTCCCTATCACCACAAACATACTTTCCTCAGCCTCCTGACCAAAACCCATCTTAACCCACCCATGTTCACCTCGCCAATCGGCTACAAAAGTCGGCTGTTGCCACTGTCATTTTTTTCGATTATCGGTTGATTAACTCGCTGGAAATCGCTTTCATCGCCACAATTGTACTCACTAGCACTTTCTCTTCAAAAACCCCAATATCTTGGCCTTCAATTGTTCGTCGATTCTAGGGTTTTGAGTGAACAAGAAAATTGTTAACTCTCTCGATTGAACCAGTTCAACCGGCTGGACTGGGTTTTAAAACACTAATTTAGATTACACTATAGCACTAATAGATTGATCACCAGACATTGATCACATTGATTAAATAGCATTGATTGTTGGGCACCACTTTCGATGATCAACATCGATCAAAGGTGGCCTGTTAACATCAAATCTAGTCTCGTTAAAACTGGAATAGGCCGATCTATAGGAATTCGATTGAATCACCAGATTTTGGCTAGGGGTGGGTGTCGGGTGGGGCTGGGCCAAGGATCCCATTCCCTATCCCTGCCTCATCCTTGCTACGGGATGACGGGAAATCCCCGTTCTCACCTCATTCTGCCCTTGCCTCAATCCTTGCCCCCATGGGGAATTTTCTTTATCTCATTCCCTACCCTGTTGAGCAGAGTGCAACAAAAGAAGAGGAGGAACGACCATTTCTATGAAGAGGAACGATGGTTCATATATAATGGAAACACTCACCAAAGCACTCACAGATTTGTCTAAAGGAAGAGACGACGAATGAAATCGATAACGGTTGGCTTCGGAGTTGTGTATAATCGGAGATTCGCTGAAGTCGAAATGTGTGAAGAGAGATTCGTCGCAAAAATTGCAAAAATTCTCACAATAGTCATAGAAAAAGAGAAGAAGGGTTCTTGGAAATATAGGGCAAACACCCACCCCTAATTTTTGCTGCAAAAGGTCGTAAAATATTCACCATTGTCTTCTAATGCCAAAATAAGCATCGAAATCCAATCCATTATCGGTCATCGGTAGAGCTATTGTTGTTATAATATATTTTATAATATTTATTAACTACTTATTACGTAAAATACAAATTAGTATGAAGGAAAATTTGTATTTTGACTAATTGCTTAGGCTTAAAATACAAAACAGTTAATATGAAAATATAAAAACTTGATTAAAATACAAAAACTAAATTAAACATACATATTAAAATTTATGGATTCAATACTCCATAATCCAATCCATTATCCATAAAAATTGAATCCAGTTCATCCTTAGATTTTAATCTTGGACTGGATTACACTAGATAGAAATTCATATAAATTGGATCCTATCCAATCCACCATTTTTGCCATCCATAGTTCTCTCTTATACCCTCTCGCCTTAATGTTTAATTGGAAGGAATCTAGTACGGTTAAAAACCAACCGTACAATAAAATGGGTTAATTTAAATAAAAGAAAAATTACATTAAACACCCGCTAGTTTTAGATATAGCTCATGACGCCCTACCATCAGTATCCCGTGGATAATGACAGTGCTCCAAAGCAAACATCTAAATTTTTGTATTTGATGTGAATGATTAGGTTTTGTTATGTGTTAAAATATTGAATGAGAATGATGTGTTTGAGAGATTTGAAAAAATTTTGCAATGAATTTGGGTAAATGTAACTTTCTGATTTCTTACTGGCCTGTTATTCATTGGAGATAACATTTTGGTCCCCCAAGAAAATATTTTCTGGCTTTGCCCTTGTTTGAGAATAAAAATTACTAGATATAATAGAAATATGCTATAGTGTGTGAATGAGAAATAATGAAAAAATTGCTAAATCGGAACCCAAATTAATATACGTAACCGTGTAACGAGTTCAAAATAGAATTCATCCCAATTTCAATCAAACTCCAAGACGGAAGCCTAAGAACATACCTCTAATCCTAGTAATCAAATTCCAAGACGCTTGTAAGTTGGGATGGGTTCTAGTCTATTCAAGACCTTAGTCCATATATCGATGGAGAATCGCAAACTTTCATGTAAACCAGTGACCATGTTTCCCTCTATGATATTTTTGGTTTTACGTAATGTTTTTATGGAAGAAGAGTTTATATAAATGGCGATTACCACGAAATAATTGATGGGGAGTTACAAGTAATTGGTGTGGGAGGTTAAAATAATAATGAGCCACAACTTCCAAAAAATTCTTGAGACTCATATATTTGGTTGTGGATTGGGTTCAACGACGAAGCAAAGATTTGTCTCCAAGAGGGCAAGCAAAAACATTTTAAATATTATAATCCATGATAAATTAACTTTTTAATTTATTAAGTTTTGTTAATAAATCTTCATATACAAAATAATTTTGTATTTATTTTATGTATTTGATTGGTAACAAAAGAAACAAAATAAATATATTTGATATATCAGATGAACAAAATAAAATAAAAGTGATAATGCTTGGATTTAAGCTATTTTGATTAAATAAAATAAATGGGTGTTAATGTTAAAACATAGAGTACAAGGGCATAAATAATTAGTTATTCCAAGTTCAGCGGGGACTCAAGCCTCCCCTCATACATTAGTGGCTCTGTCCCTGATTGGTTTTTGAACCCATTGTTCAAATCTATCAAACACTGTAATAAGTCACCAAACACTACAGTTTTCTCATAGGATGGTTGATTTAATAGCAACAGTTATGACAAAGGCAACCTTAGGCTTGGGTGACCTTGGGCACACCGGGTCTCACAAAAATCTTTAAAATTTATCTAGAAAAACAAATTTAGCCCCTATAAATGTAGTTATTCTCATCTAGACACCCCTAATTTTTGAAGGTAACACATTAGCTCCAAAAAAATGTAACTTTCTCATTATATTCTGCCCCCGTTGTTCATTGAAGTTAACATTTTGGTCCCCCAGAAAGACAACCGCTGTTTGAGAAGAAAAATTACTAGATATAATTGAATCATGCTGTAGTGTGTCAATAAGAAATAATGAAATACATAGCAAGCATTTTACATTATTAAGACAACAAGCTTCAATACAAAATTACATTACAATCACACAACTTGCAAATATAAATTACATAAACACAACTTGCAAGATAGAACATATGGTTTGTATGATAGTGAGCAATAGGAGTATAACCGCTGCAACAGTTGCTGTGCCTCACCAAAGATTGTTGAAATACACTCTTTTCAAAGTTGCTTTTGTTATAATCCATGGATTGTTACAACGTCTCTTGCGTTCCTCACAAAAGTCACAGTAAGAGGATTCACCTAAATTGACAAATAGGCAAAGTTTGTTAAACATATTTGCTACCGAAGCATTGTTGCCCAATCCATTGGAAATAATTCCATTTTCAACAAGCAATTCTACATCTTTTTCATTATCAATAAGACCATCTATTAGACTAACGTAATTGCAAACTTGAGTATCATATGGATAATGACACTGTTCAAAAGCCATAACGTTTCTAAGTAGATATTCAATGTCATCTGATAATTTTAAATGTGGTATTTGCAACTCATGTTCTTCAAAACATGGGACACGTTGCTTTCGTTTTTCAAATCTTATGTCAATTAAGCTATTTTCTCCTTCAAAACACTTAAACTTCACTCCTGACTCATGCAATTTCATTGCAGAAGGTAGATAATAACCCTGTCTGTCGATTTGCTCAGACTTTTGGTAGTGTTCCAGTATAGTAGTTCTTCTCCAATCGGTTAAATGTTTAACTGCAACCTGGGGGGTTAACATACTCAATTTCGAATTAGAAGTATTAAAAAAACGATGTGAAAGCACCATGAAGGTAGGCATGCTAAGGCCTGCGAGAGCTAACTCACATATTTCCTCGAGGATGAAGTATGGAAGTTGATTTTCGAGCAATTGAAAGTCATTACGTAAAGATGATCTTACTCTTCTTACTTGTAGTAATAAATCACTTCCACCAAAATTGGATTGATACCTTAAAAATAACTCTATGATAAAGATAGCATCATATAACATCATCATTACATACTCAATGCTCCCAAGTTTAGACGTCACTGCATAACAATTACGGACACTTTTCTCGTTATCCTTGATGAAGTTTAAAACATTATCTCGATTTTTTGTTGTTATTCGTTCAAGAAAACTTTTCATATATTTTCTTTCTGTCTTTTCCATGTTAGCTAATTTTTCTTTTACATGGTGAAGAGGACCTATTGAAACTAATTGAGGAGTGTAGGCTTCTTCATTTAAGCTACGAAGATCTTTAGGAACCCTATAAATACAACACTGACGAGCATCAAGCTCAGGCTCCAAGGTTTTGTCAATGTCAATGCGCAACTCTTTGACCAAATCCTCAAGTTTAAGAAAATCACTCATCTCCAACTTCTTTGCCCTATTGACAAACCGTACTGACAATAGTCAATTAATAACAATAAACAGATAAATGCATCACTCAAAATAATCAACCCTCAGAAGAAAATCATGTTGCTATCATGAGGTAATTATTTCCATAAATAGCTTTTAAGAATAATATGCAATCTGTCATAAATCAAAAATAAATATTTTATATTAATATCATTTGCAAAGATTTAAATTAAAAATATGTAGGTAGAGATTCCTGAAACGAATCCCCTTAATAGAATGTTGGAATTGGGAAGAATTGACTATTATATTTGTAACGGTAATATAGAATAGCTGTCATACCAAACGCTTGAAAAAGGAACAAATTGCATGTTATAATCCAAAGTAATACTATGCATTTAATTAACACAAGGTACAATTAGCTACCGCATATCCATTGTGTATATATATATATATATATATATACATAATAAACTAAAAAGGTAGATTAAAAAAGTATTATACTATTTTATATACTTTAATTATCTGAATAATTATTATTTTAAACATTTAGTTTAATTAGATTCTTTTCAATTTATAATAATAATAATAATAAAAGTAGTCGGCAGCTGCCAAAGCTGTCTGCCTCCGATGAGTATTTTAGAACATTGTTAACACCAAACCAAAGAGAAAACAATTCTAAACATATGTGTCCATGATTTAGACTACGCCTCAGCACCAATAGATTGATCGCAAAACTTTGATCAGATTGGTGTTGGAGGTATCGTTTCACTCACCGGAAGTTTTTTCTAGTGTCGGAATCCGGCAATCCCATTAATCTTGAATTTGATTAATGAAAAAAAAAAAAAAAAAAAGCAAATGAAAATTAAGTGCATGCATGTTTAGTTTTAGTAAAGGTTAAGAGCAGCATGAAGATGATAGTATCCTGACCTGATCAGTTGATTCCACCTCTCGAAAGTCACAGCTACCTCACAGCACGGCAGGGATGTGTTATGTAATTGTGTGTATCTCTCTGATCTCTCTTTCATAGTATGTTTTCTCTTCTGCTTCCTCGCCGTAATTTATATGCACACTTCGCACATGTTTGATTTGAAAGAATCTGGTACAGTTAGTACAGTTAAAAATAACTGTACCATAAATAAAGTGGGTTAATTTAAATAAAAGAAAAATTACTCTAAACCCCCAGACTCACTAATAACCCCCTCTGGTTTTAGATATGACTCACGACCCCCTACCGGCGTTAATCAGAATTACTTAAAATCTGTCATCTGACATCCTACACAACTTAAATTTCATATTTACCCCTGGTTTGGATAAAATAAAATAAAAATAAATTTAATAAATATAAACCATTTTAAGTTTATATAATAAATAATTAAATAAAATCAGTTATGACAAAATCAAACCCTAAACTCCAAGCAGTGGCGGCCTAGCTTGCGGCCTAACCCACAACCAAAATAAGAGGCCGTAGCTTTGCCCAACAAGGCTACGAAGCCGTAGCCTTCAGGAGGGCAACGCGACAGATGGTGGGTTGACAGGATGATGGGAAGGGGCAGTTTGAGAAGATGGGAGGAGGCGACTTGAGTAGAGGAGGTGGTGGCGGCGGCCTAGGGAGAAAGAGGAGAGTGGCAGCATGAAGTGAAAAGATGAAAGAAGGTGCCGACTTTTGAGGAAAAGATGAGTAATGTTTTTAGGCTTTTTATTTTTTATTTTTATATGTTAGGATTTTGAAATTGGAATTAGTTTTAATCTTCGGTTTTTTCTTTTTTTTTTTTAATTGCTATTCATATAAAGTTAACTTTTATCCCTATGTTTTTATTTTAACAGAAATGTGTGAACATTTGACTAATAATAGGGTGTTGTCACTTGTCAGTTATATTAAAAAACAACAGGGGTTCAATTCGTTACGGTATATCTCAGGGGTTTGGGATTCCCCATAAAGAGGTGATATTTAGAAAGACTATTATTACAATAAAAAAGAAGTGGGGCCAATTTAGAAAGACTATATAGGTCTTGCAATAATTAAACCAACAGTAATATAAATTATTAAATTAATATTATATTATATGCAATATTGTATCTCATCTTATAATTGCATGTACAATTTTTGTTAAAGTTTTTTTTTAAAAAAAAAAAATTACTCTCAATTAAGAAAATTTTCCGACTACATTTGGTGACTATTGTTCCTCTTCTCTTAATCTCTTCTCTGCTACATTTGGTGATTATTGTTCCTCTTCTCTAGATATACAAGATTAGCAAAAGTTCAATTTATATTATGGGTACTCCATCTTCAATTTTCTTCATTTTCAAAATAAAATATATATTTTATTAGATGATATTGCAAGTGTGGGGCTGATTAGCAAGAAAAAAGTCATATGATACTTAATATACTCTTAAAGAGAGGCCTCAAAAACCGAGAACCATTCATTGTAGTACATATGTCTTTAAAATAGAAGCAGCTGGATGACGATATTGATATTGGTGAGAGTGGGGCTAATTAGCAAGAAAAATCCAAACACGTACCCCTGCTCAAATCAAGAAGTGGAGCCATTGATCAAAACACAAAAACACAATCTAGAATATTACGCAACATGGCAACATCGTTTAGTGTTGGTTTGGTCCGTTTGGAAAAAAAGATAAAAGAAACTGCATTTCAAGAAGTAATTAATTAATTTTTAAAATAAAATTACAAATTATATGTCATTTTATTTGACAATGTCATGTCACGACAATCACCAATTTACCACTTCTTTTAAATCTCAACACCATATGAGATTATACACCACTTGAGACTCAAGAAAATTTTGAAATAACTTTTGTGATGAATGGTATTATCATTAATTAATATATACGAAGAAATGAACATGAGAAATAACACACAATTATTATTTAATTATCACTAATGTAACTAAGAAAAGAAACTTTAAAGATATTGAAGTGATAATGCTAGACTACAATGATTTGGTTGACCAAATAGAAATAAATCACAAGAGGTTAATTGCTGTAGATATAGACAAAGCAAATAACAAAAGAGGAAAATTTATAAAGAAAGACGTCGTAGTCAATAGCTATTGATAAGTGTGGACTGTGGTGTGGAGGTGTGGGGCTCTAAGCATGAATCACATGAACCTATTTTATGGATAAGTCGAGCCGTCAACCTAATCTCTTTCACCAAATGAGAATATTTAATTTCTACATTAATGATGCTATACAGTATATTACATCATACCTATTGCATCATAATAATTTCTAACTTATGATTGTATTTGAAAAATATGTATTTGTAATGTCTTTAATTTTTATTTAGTACTTATTTTATTTATTATTAAGATTATTCATTAATACAACATTTAAATTGTATTATTCAAGTTTTTATATTAAGTTATTAAATTAATACTTCTTAATGTATCAACAATAAACTTATACAATACACATATATTATTATTTAGATTCTTTTAATATACAAAAAAAAAAAAAAATTATATACATTGTTAAATTCTTGCATATAATTTATAGAAAAAATATATATATATTATCCTTGTGATTGTAATTATCTTTAAATTTGAAATAATACTTCAATATAACACTTGTTCTGTTTTGTTATGATGAAAAGAATTCTTGTGTTCCAGAGCTCTTGGAATTTATCAATTGGTAACTTATGTCTCACTATTGATTTTCAAATTTATATCCTTAGCATGCATCTTGAGAAGGAGTTTGATGTTTAATTAATAGTGCATATATAATTAGTGAAAGAAGATGTAAAGGAAATTAGAATTATGGTATGTAAATTAAGTTTTTTATTTTCATTTATTAAAATCATTGATTAGAAAGTACTTGTGGGCAATCTAATAATACAAATTTCGAAGTTTAAATAAAATGAGGTGAATGTCTATTAAGTTTAAATAAAATGAGGTGAATGTATATTATATGCATTAACTATAGTATCTCATCTAATAATTGAATTACTTGTATGTGCGATTTTTGCAATCAACTTTGCAATTAGATAAGTCTTAAAATTACCAAAATTTGTCACATTAAAAATCATTTATAATTATAATTATTTGAAAAAAAATAGTAAAACAAAATATATATCTAAACATTTTTCTGAAATATAGGAATGTACGTAATATGCACATTAATAATAATATTTAATTAGAAGACAATTCAGTAATTTAAATAACATACCCATTAATTTATTTCTCCCAACCAAACATATTAATATAATATATCCACCAATTAACCAAACACATTTTACTAAAGATTCCTAGTAATCTTCAAGGTAATTTAACTTACCAGTAATCCAATATTCCCAGTAATCCAACATTTCCTAAACCAAACGCCCCCTAAAAGTAAAAAAAGATTCTCTTTAGAGCCTCTAAACTTTCTCAAGAAAATATAAGCAGTTTTAAGAGAAAATATCAGATTATTAGAAATTTTACTTCCCTGAATTAATATTTTCTTGGTATAAAGACATTGGTTTCCCAAAATTTTAGTTCAAAAAAAAAAAAAAAAAAGTCATCAGGCAATTAATCTCACCGGATCTTTCTCAATATCGGATTATCAGAAATTTGACTTCGAATAATAAAGATCAATCTCGATTGGATCAAATGCATGCATATTGATCATACATGCATATCCATCTGATCAATGAGGATTGTCCCTCATGGCGCATGACATGCACGAACTTTCATATTCGTGGGGTACAGATACATCGATTGTATTAAGAATTTTCTTTTTGGCAACTTTGATCAAAATTAAAGAAAATTCTTAGCTGAGAATTAATGGAATCCATCTCAGCTGAGAATTAGTGGTCCGACGACTCCTTCAAAAGCAACCCATGTGAAAAACTTTGAAACAGCCAAGTACAATAATTAAAAGCAAGCGAAAGCAAAAGCAAAAGCCTTGCAAAAGAAGCCACACATATATCACAAGCATAATAGTAAAAAAAAAGATTCTCTATATTGCCTATAAATTTGCATAGGAAAATAAAATCAGTTAAAAGAGAAATTAAATTTCCCTTGAAATCTTTTCTTTTTAAATTAAACTAAAGAAAAAAAAAAAGGTAATAAAATCAGCTTCCATTGCTCATTCTCTAAACAAGTTCAGACATACAAGGAACAAAATCTTAATTTGAATCCAAAATTTTATTCTTTCTTATTGTGGATTTGACATTTTTTCTTTTGAGTTTTAATATTTATGGATTCAGATTATAAAATTAGAGCGTATTTTGTGTTTATCTAAATTCTATTACGTAAACTTGGGTTTGGTTAATACTTCATAGCTTAATTCCTTTAATCTCAATGATATGATGTATAATAACCAAGCTATGAAGGTACTGACTAATGGTGGTAGGATTGACCAGCATCATTTGCATTTTGCAATAATAAATTAGTGAATACTATGCAGAAATCAATATTTGAGGTGATTTTAAGATCATGTGCTTTTATAGCTGAGAGTCAGTTTAAATATAAACATCTTTTATGCAGAAAGGTTTTTGACCAAATTAAAAAAAAATATTTATAATGATAGATTGTAGAATAGGTCTCTAATTAACGACATTTTAACATTCAAGGCAATTTGGCAATGAAAAATGCATTCTCAGTTTGAATCACATTATAATTAGATTAGAACTGGATACTATAATACAACTCTGTAATTAAAGGGTCAAAATGGATACTGTAATACAACTCTGTAATTAAAGAGTCAAAATGGAGATTTATACTAGGATATTGTAATACAACATGTATAAGCTTTATTTTCCATAAACCAAACACGTTTATTATATAGTTTGAGTTCCGAGTAAAGATTCTTTTAATTGACCAAAACGTGTTTCTTGGACATTTTTTTTAGCACTAATCAAAACCTTTTTTTTATTTATAAATTTGTGTTTAATTCCTTAGACCAAATCTCACAAAATCAATTACTTAAGAAACCAAAACATGAACAAAACAATAAAAGTCCCAGGACAAGCGTGGTAGATACGGCTCATGTGAAAGTCAATAGAAGTAATTTGTATTAAATGGATTAAAATCGTTTGACTCAATCAAATTATTAATTGCAGTTTGATTTATAAACCATAGTACTGCTCTCCAGCTGGAGTGACAAGATTTACAAAAATGGGAAGAAGAGAATAATC